TATATCTATAAAATTGTTGTTTCTAAATGTGCTGTGATATTTCTAAATATTAAATTTTGATAAATTCTTAACAAACTATCATCCAGTTTTCAGTGTTTTTTCTTAGGATGCCTCATGAATAGAAATATCATTTCAGGATTCCTCTCCACGTTCAGATGAAGAAGTCATCATGTTGAGCCGGTCTGGGTCTCTCCGTCTGTCCTACACCAATCCTGCTGAACTGTTACGTAGTCGGTCATTATTGAAGGAGGAATTTATACTGGAAGAAAGTAGACCAAGAGACTCATTAATTCAGTCTTCAGGTAGGAAAAATGTCTTAATTCTAATTTAATTCTGAATGTCCAATTTTAATCTTTTTGCTTAAATTTTGGACGTGCATTTCTAAAACTAGCCCCCAAAATGAGGTTTTTGAGGAACCATTTTTCCTACCTCCTGGCATTGGGTTTACCCTGATTATTCTTATCCCTGAATCCAAATGTTCCAGAAAATGTATTGAAAATTTTGAATTTTGCAAAACAAAAGCAAAAAGCGGGGCTAATTGTTCCTGTCTATTTCAGGGAGTGATCCATTATCCAGTGCTGCAAGTAGTATGTCCTCGTCCCCTCGAGATCTCAGTTATAAATATGGTCTCTCCGCGTCTAGTAAACTACCAGGCATCGACACACGGAACACCAATATTATATCCACCGAAAAATCATCCATTAAACGGAGTCGCAGCTTTACTCATGGTCAAAGGTCACGATTGACCAATCAGATGCCAGATTCTCATGTGGGTTTCCAATCAAATGATCGGATTAGTGAAAATGCTGAAAAAGTGAACAATATTTCTGAAAGTGCTCAATTTAACAGAAATAAAAGTAAGTCGTTCCGTCATAAGGTTCTCAAACCGATGGACACAAATAGTGAGAATTGTGAGAAGGTATCGAAAGACTCGAAGCTCGAGAGAGCTGACAGTGCCAAGAAAGGGAAGACAACTCATGCTCAAAATAAACTTCGCTCAGAAAATGTGAAAAAGGACACAAATGAGAATTCTGCCTCAAAATCAAAACCAGAGGAAGTTGGAAAAATTGCTCAGAATACTGAAACTGAGCCTAAAACTGAGTCTGAAATTGAAAAAAGCAATGATAATAGCAAAAATATAACAAAACCTAAACCAACTGCAAAGGATTTCAAAGTTTCATTCTCAAACGACAAATTGAGGGATTCAACGTCTGCTAAAAGCAGAGTGACGTCTGCTAAGTCTGTGAGTTCAAGCTTCACAACCGCCTCTTCAAAATCGCAGACTTCTGCTGCAAATAATAAACTTTCAGATGGAAGTGTCAGAGCTTCAGTGCCATCTGGGAAATCAACGGCTTCAAACTCAACTCAGGAAAGCAGTGACAATAAAAATCGCAAGCAAATTCCTCCAAATGTTCAAACCCAAACGGACTCGAAAATTGATACAAGCGAAAAGGATCCAAAGGTTAATGACAAAACAGATCCCAAACAATCTAAAACTTCTTCCAAAACTGGAAACACTGTCTCAAAACAACCAGCTCAAAATGTGAAAAAATCTCAAAATGCCTCGAAATCTGCAACTGTGACACGAACGCCTAAAGTTAGTATTCCAAGTACAAATCGTACAACTCCCAAAAAAGTGAAATCAGCTGCGTCTTTAAAAGTGATGAGTTTAGGAATCAAATCTTCTCCTGTTGTCAAGGCAGCACAAGCTGTTACTGTTAGCAACAAGGGCAGTAACTCTAAAGATTCCTCAACTGAAGTTCCAGTGGATACAAACACATTGACTAATCTTGAAAATCAAAAACAAGATCCCAAACCAGTTGAGAAGAATTCCGCTGGATCGTCCAAATCAGGATGTTCAGAGAAATATCGAATTCAGTCAGCTAAATCTCAGAAAGAGGTTCCCGCTCCAAAACCGTCTCAATCTTTGCCGCGAACGAGCTCACAAACCAACGTTAACGAGGCTCAAAATAGCGTTGTGGCACCCAAGAGTGGAAGAAAAAGCTCTGCTAAGAGTTGCCGAGTAAGTGGCATTCAAGTTTTGCTGGAAAACGGAACCCCCACTCCTGGGCGGAATCCCAAAACAGACACTGGGACAGAGAAAAGTGAGGGAAAATTAAAACAATCCGTTTCCGATCCTTTGATTACGAAATTAAAAAAGAAACTTGGGAAAAATGTGAGTGAAGCCAAAGAACCTTTGGTACGAATTTCCGTGTCGGGCGAGGAACCGAAGTTAAATCTATCTCAGCAAAATATGGATGAATTTTTAGCGGAGATGCATACCCCTGTGATTGTGAATCCTTTCGAAGATTTTGTGCCGTGTCAAAATATTGAGCCTCAAACTCAACCTGCTGATTACACGATTTCAAAATATCAAAAAGATGCCATAATGAAAAATCGTACAATGTCGAAAACACGAAATTTGAAAAGTGCTAGAAGATCTAAACCTCCATCTTCTGCTACAAGACAGACGTCTGCTGGGAAGAAAAAAGGCGGGAAAGTGAAAAGTGTGAAAAATTCTGATGACGTGAGACCGAAAAGTGGACGACCTCCTAAAAGTGCCAAAAAAGCGGGAAAGAAAACTAAAAAGGGAGCAACCCTTGCAGAACATGCTGCTAAACCTGATGTAGCATTGATTTCTGGGATAGGTTGGCAATTAGCCACAGGATGTCTGGACAATCGAGATGTTAAAGTTGCTACGTTTATTGGGTCAGACTCCGACCCTTCTGATATTTATGATGACCTTGACCTGTGCTCGGAGAGAGATTTAACATCAGAACCTGGCAACGACGTTTTGAATTTGGAATCAACTCCACGATTTTCTGAAATCAAAATAAGCGATGGATTAAATCCAAATCTTAGTGAATCACCTGACAATTTTCCACCAATGAAATTTGAGCAAATGCATGAATTTGAATATGCTGAATCACCATCTGAATTCAATTCTGCAGAATTCAATGAAATAACAGCAAATCTGCATCGTGAAATTCTCAGAAGCAAAATGACTCCTATACCGGAATCGCCTGTTTCCTTGGTTTCCAAAGCAACAAGTTCTTTCCATAACCATGACAACAAAATACCTGAAGAATTTGATCACAGAAGTTCAGGTGCCAAATCAGGGAAATCTTCAAAATCGAAAGACCAAAAGGGTAAAATTCGTGAATCTCAAAATATCAATTTAAGTAACCATGACAACAAGGATGACTTCCGTGACGATGAAAATATTGATGAAGTAATTGATGAAATTTTGAACTTTAACCCCTCGACCTTGAACTCTACATTGAGGTCAAACAAGTCCATGCGTTCTGCCAACAGTACATTGACAGAGGGTGACATGAAACTTTTACAAGAATTGAAGAAGCCTATCGCAGGATACCACGCTAATAAGACCGTCGAGTCTGATAGCGATGATACTTTATCAATAGAAGATGAAAGTAGGCCGAAGGTCAAGGTGACCAGACATGAAAGTTTCAAGGTCAAGGCTGAAATGGATGAAGAAGCTAAAGAAATAGCTAAGGTATGACAAAAATTTGAAAATGAAAAATTTCATACTGGGATCTTAGTTCTCTTTCAAGATTTCGGCAGAAAAGTAAAACTCCAATCATTTCTTTAAATTTATTTAATATTTGCTCATGAAATAGTTTTGAGATCAAAGTGAAAGCCTATTTTTAGACCAGCTTCTATGTCATGTACAACACTGCCAACTTTTTTATTAATGTCTGCAAAACTCATTTGTACCCTCAGCTGCAAGTCAATTAAAGATTTCTTCCTGGAAATTGAAAAAATTGAATCTAATGGTATTTATATTTTCCTCATTGTACACCTCATGATATTTCCATTCTGCATAAAACCAAATTACAGGAGAAAAGAAGGATGTAAAATTTCAATTCATTTCCATAGGTTGTAAGAACATTCGGCCATCTTGAATTACACGCTGGTGGGTCAATGAGGTCACTAAGTAAACGATCACCACGGAGGGAGCTGATTGGATCACCACGTCACTATGGCAGCATAAATACAACTTTATCAACCAATAGAAAACCACCATCTGGGAAATTCCACGAAGTTAAACCAATAGACGACAACCTTTCTAAAAAGGTAAGATTTATTTTCTTGTTTCCAATTGTAATTTTTAGCATAAGCTATGTAATTGTTTTGGAACAGTGTGTTTCTATGAGTAGGAACCTAGAAAGACTCTTTTTGAAAGGTCAGCAGAATTGTCAACAGGGACTGAAATCACCAGGCATTTATGAACTCAATTATTAAACTATTTTAAAACTAGAGAAGGGTTAGCAAAGCCTGGTCCAGCTGAACATGACCCCCTCAAAATTCCACTGTTTTGGAACATATCAGAAAAATATGTTCAGTATTTGTGAATCTGCAAAGTTCAAAAAAGGCTTTTGGACCTAATTTCTTGCCCTAATAAAGTGATTATTATTATTATTATTATTATATCACACCATGCCTCTAAATTTCTGATTTCAGATGTCTAAAATAATTCATATCAAATCCCCCGAGGAAGCCATGATGGAACATCTACAGGAAGTAGTTAATCCCGAGAGTATCGTCCAATCATTGGCTGAGGTTATTAAAGATGGTGATCCTGATTTGAATACGATGCCAGTGAGTAGAGATTACTTTAGAAATTACTGTGATTTATTGAGACTAAATACTAAATAACCTTTAGAACTGTGATCAATTTCTCTTGTTTCCACGAATACCAGGACAAAGGTTCACTGGAAAATTGAATAAATGTGCATTAGCTGATGAGGCAATAGGGTTTATTGTGATATTACTAAACTATTATATAGAAATATTAAAACAGAACCTGAAACATGTTGTTTCTCAGAGTTTCACGCTATGTGATCTTCAGACAACTGACCTATTTTCAGTATATTAACTATTATATATTACAGGCAGTGAATCGTTTATCATATAGACGTGGAAGTGATTCTAATTCAGCCTGTACCTCTGATAGTATCTCTTCTACCAATGATTTAGCCAGTCAGTGGAAGAAAGGAAATATTCTAGGGAAAGGTGCTTTTGGAACAGTAAGTACCTAAGAAACTATGATTTTTATTATTTTATTTTTAACAATATTTACTAATAATTATATTGGATTTACATACCAGAGGCGTTGCCTGTACTCATACCACTCTGTACATTTGTTCATATTAACAAAACAAAAGGTGAAAATGGGAAAGTAGGAGCTTGTTGATTGGCTGGATTGAAAATCATGTTTCACGAATATATATTCCCTCAATCTCAAACACTTGGTAAAGAGAAACAGAGTAGAAATATGTAATAGTTTTAGACCTGTAGACCTATTGCTGTTTAATAACATATTGATTGTATCTGTAGGTATGGTGTGGACTGACTAACGAGGGCGAATTAATAGCTGTTAAACAAATTGAGTTAAATTCTATGGACATTGAAAAAGCTCATCGTGAATACGAAAAGGTGCAAGAAGAAGTGGAACTTCTGAAAAACCTTAAACATAAAAATATTGTAGGGTAGGTACATCTTTGTTTGTTTGTGACAGCTTGTCAATCAGATAAACTGTATTTTATCAAAATAGGGTTATATATGCTTTTTTATATGCTCACACGTAAGTATGGACGTATATTGTAGTTGCCCCTGTCGGTCCGTCCGTTCACATTTACCTCGTGCTCACTCTACACGCTACAATTCTCTATAGATTCTTTTGATCTTTTGTATGTATGTCAATATCATTATGAAGATGTGTACTATTGGTTACGATCCAAAAACTTGCTGGATCAAGTTTGTTTCACAGTTCACATTTAGCTATTTATGAAGCTGCTGGTAGGCGTATACGCTTGCGAGACTTGCCGCAAGCCAATGTTTAAACTTTAAACTGTGCATGTCATTTTTCAGAATTCAAATCTGACATCTGGAGCTCTTGCAATTGAACAGACTTTTGTAACCTAGAGTGTTACAACCCATTCTCCCTAGCCGATTGTTTTGAAAATCCTAATCAACCAAATTCCTGTTATTTTCAGGTATTTAGGAACTAGTTTTGAAGACAGTATTGTGAGCATCTTTATGCAGTTTGTACCAGGAGGTTCTCTGGCCAATGTATTAGCAAGGTTTGGTGCCTTGGAAGAGTCAGTATTTCGGCGCTATACCAGACAGATACTAGAAGGGGTGGAATATCTTCATCAAAATGATGTCATTCACAGGTAATTAGGAAATATTTTGGAAAAAATCGTCATTTTACATACTTATCTTTTTTTTCATAAGCCAGTGTCAAAATGCACATTTTAAAACAATCTATTTTTCAGCAGATCTCTTTATTTGTCACCTCGGCCAGTGCTTTTCATACAGTTTCTATGAACTTCCTCACTCTAAATACAGTTCAGATCATCTGGAACTTAAATAAATTTAAGAAAATTTCAAGAAAAGTTTCATTTATTATTAATAAAGAGTTTATTATTATTATTATTATTATTATTATTATTATTATTATTATTATTATTATTATTATTATTATTATTATTATTATAGAGATATCAAGGGAGGTAATGTGATGTTGATGCCAAATGGAATTATAAAACTGATAGATTTTGGTTGTGCTAAACGATTGTGTTTTAATCTCAGTATGAGTCAGACTCAGATATTAAAATCTATGAAGGGGACGCCATATTGGATGGCCCCGGAAGTGGTGAGTGAAACTGGACATGGTAAGAAGTCTGATATCTGGAGTATTGGTTGTACAGTGTTTGAAATGGCCACCAGAAAACCTCCATGGTAAGAATACAGTTGTATTCAATGTTCTAAGATAACTGGGATAGTAATGGCTATGTGTAATGTGGAAACTATTTAACTATTTTATCTCTTCCAGAAACATGGCTACTTATCTGTATGATAAAAATAAAATACTGTTTAAACCAATTAATGACTTCAAACACCTAGTTTTAGTTGAATTACAGGAACCACAGACGTCTGATATAAAAATTTGACTGGTGGAAATTGATGCTATCAGTGTCCTCGATACACATAACAAATTTAGAAAACTTCTTTACACATTCTTTCAATATCTGAAGATCAGACATCAACTATAGGTTAACTCTCAATGTCAAGGTCAATATTTCCCAGTTTTTTTATTCTATTTCAGGTCCAATATGAATCCCATGGCAGCCATATTTGCTATCGGTAGTGATAAACCTGTACCTCAACTTTCAGAGTCGTTCTCTGTATTAGCTAGACAGTTTGTTAATGCCTGTTTGACTAGGTAAGTTCTAACAGAGTCATTCTCTATATTAGCTAGACAGTTTGTTCATGCCTGTTTGACTAGGTAAGTACTATCAGAGTCATTCTCTATATTAGCTAGACAGTTTGTTCATGCCTGTTTGACTAGGTAAGTACTATCAGAGTCATTCTCTATATTAGCTAGACAGTTTGTTAATGCCTGTTTGACTAGGTAAGTTCTATCAGAGTCATTCTCTATATTAGCTAGACAGTTTGTTAGTGCCTGTTTGACTAGGTAAGTTCTATCAGAGTCATTCTCTATATTAGCTAGACAGTTTGTTAATGCCTGTTTGACTAGGTAAGTACTTTCAGAGTCATTCTCTATATTAGCTAGACAGTTTGTTAATGCCTGTTTGACTAGGTAAGTACTATCAGAGTTATTCTCTATATTAGCCAGACAGTTTGTTAATGCCTGTTTGACTAGGTACGTTCTATCAGAGTCATTCTCTATATTAGCTAGACAGTTTGTTAATGCCTGTTTGACTAGGTAAGTACTATCAGAGTTATTCTCTATATTAGCTAGACAGTTTGTTAATGCCTTTTGGACTAGGTAAATTCTATCAGAGTCATTCTCTATATTAGCTAGACAGTTTGTTAATGCCTGTTTGACTAGGTAAGTACTATCAGAGTCATTCTCTATATTAGCTAGACAGTTTGTTAATACCTGTTTGACTAGGTAAGTACTATCAGAGTCATTCTCTATATTAGCTAGACAGTTTGTTAATGCCTGTTTGACTAGGTAAGTACTATCAGAGTCATTCTCTATATTAGCTAGACAGTTTGTTAATGCCTGTTTGACTAGGTAAGTTCTATCAGAGTCATTCTCTATATTAGCTAGACAGTTTGTTAATGCCTGTTTGACTAGGTAAGTACTGGATAGTAAAAACTCATATGGAATGAGTTCTCTCATTTGACAATCCTCGGCAGTTTGAGTTAAGTTGAATCTGTCACAGTAATGAATGGCGAATTTCATTGTGTCTTTTTGAACAAGACTATTTAATTCCACCATTTAACAATGATTTGTCAAGTGATAGTAATATTGCAACCTGATTAAAATCCCTAGTTTTATAGCCTTCAGGAGATAATTCTGAAATAAATTATGTATTTGATATTTTATCATGACTATCTGTTTACCAATATATTATATTATCATACTGAATTCATACGAAGGTTTTGTTTTTATTGTCTTTGTTTACAAGTACTGGTTGTCCAGTCCTGTTATTAATGTAAACTAATAATCTACTTTCAATTTATTGTAGAGATCAGAATGAAAGACTCTCAGCTACAGAATTATTATCTCATCCTTTTATAGTGAAAAAACCTGTCTCACGTAAATAATATAATAACATATTAAACACAAGAGATGAGAATACCTTGTTTGGCTGTTTGGTCCATATTAAACTTGGATTAGTTTTCTTTCTTTCTTTAATGTGAATAGAAGAGACCTTGTTCACCACTTTGGTCCATATAAAACAGATTGACCTAGCTGATGGATCTAAAGTGTGGATTCCAAATGTAGTGGCTTGAATAGTGATCAAGGATAATTTGGTAAAGATTGTAACTGAAGAAGGAAACAAAGAAATAAACCACGTCGGCGTGTCGGTTCATGTCTACAATTGGCATAAAAGCACTGGCCAAGGTGTCAAAATAAAGACTTAAAATGAAAACAACATGCAAATTACAACAGAGTTTGAATAAACACATATTCTCAGGGAAGTTGATAGAATAACAAGAGTTAAATTTCTATATTTGGATTAAAAGTGTTGAAAGATATGTTATGTTAAGGTTTGAATTGCTCTATCCAGATTATTGATACAATAGAAAATAGAAGAAAATAAAATAGACTAATACAAGAGGTACTGGTCTAGAAACAATTTCTTCTACTTTTTACGGAATCCGGACACTGCTAATTGTCTAATTTGCAAATTTTGTGAAAAGATTCAGTACAGTGTTGTACAATGTTGTAAAGTGTTGTACAATGTTGTACAATGTCTCCACTGTACATGAGTTTCATGGTTGTACTTGATTTGATTCCTCTGTACATTCTGACTAATGTGATATGTTAAATGGAGAATGGAGATATCCAATCTGATGTCTTATTCTGATGTCTTATTCTGATGTCTTATTCTGATGTCACATTGTGAAATTAATTATATTTATATAAATTATAAAGTGCTGCTGTGATGAAACTGTGATGCAAATTATTATTTACTGCTGATGATGTGTTTTTAATATTAAAAAATCTCCAGAGTGAGGCACGCAGGCTGCAGAAATTGGCCATATTTATTGTTTTATAAGAATTATGGATATTGGTATATAGTTCTGTTAAAATATTTGAGTTTATTCAAGAATGATTCAGTTCATAAACAATAAAGGTTCCAGGCACATGAGTTATCTTGGTCAGAAACTTTTGTCGCCGATTAGAGTCTTGTTAAGAGTTTTACCAACTGGCACGGACACATGAGAAGAGAAAAATCTCCAGTTGGTCGTTTTCCACTATGTTGATAATCACATGTGGAGCTTGCAATTGAAAGGAAAATGAATCTGATGGGATGATGATGGTCTGTCTTGCAGACTATAAAACTATCAGAGACAATTATCAAACTTGATGGGTATTATAAATGTTGTTGGCGACACGATAATCTAGTCGTGGAAGCACCAGCACACGTGAGATGTTACTCTTTAAATTGGCGACAAAAATCTCTGACAAAGACCGCTCGAGTGACTTAATAGTCTGTTTTATTTTGAGGTTTGATGAAGTGAAATTAGACAGAATAAAACACAAGGCCCTGTTCCTCTTACAGTCATACGTAGAATTTTACATTTTATAGAAATTTATAACTTACTACAAAAATGATCCTAAATTTTTTTGTGAAACATCGTTTATTTTTTGGTTAGTATATATCCTACCTCAAATTAAAGGGACTGTCTTGTTTATGCTTTGAATTATCTGGGTAAGTGAACAAATATCTTTACGAACCCTCCAAATGATAACTTTTATATTTTTTATTATAAAAAGTATTTTAGCCTGTACAGTATTGTAAATATTTATAGAATGTAAATATAGAATGTAAATAATAATGATATGAAGATAGACAAGGATATTTTTGATTACATTTGGAGGAAACTCTCCTGAATTAAGAAACTGGTAATAAACACAATAGAGTGAAAGCATGTATACCTTCAAATACCTGGCATTACCTCTAAAATATAGTTATCTCTTGTATTTATATTTCCAAACTTCCTTGCATTAATATCTCCTATCATGATAGTTTGTGTGAATTAGTATAGAATAGATTTTAAGATTTTAAAGTTAAGATATTATTATATCCACCATTATAGTCCACCATTTTACCATCTGAATTCCAACTATCTTATAATAGGGTTTAGATCTAGATTGAGTAAAGTAGCCCACTAAAAGAAACTGAATTGAAATATTTATATCTGTAATGTTAATTATGATCACAATTCTTAAGTCTAAGACAGGATTAAAGTCTTTTATCTTGGTAGAATATCTTTACCTTTAAATCATAGCAGGAGAGCATGTTTTACTGTTATACACCAGTTTGTATTGTAGGGCAATATCAACTATAATAATACCAGTTTGTATTGTAGGGCAATATCAACTATGATAATATACCAGTTTGTATTGTAGGGCAATATCAACTATGATAATATACCAGTTTGTATTGTAGGGCAATATCAACTATAATACCAGACTATATTGTGATATGTACAGTTTTTATTTTAAATAATTATTTTTTACTAATCATGACATTAATTAATAGAAACACATTTATTAAAAAATGTCCTTGTTTTCATTTCTTTTATAAGATATATTTTGACTTTAAGTCCCAACTCTCAAATTTGTCATTATTGAGTTATTAATTGTGAGCCCCCTTGACAATATTGTGGACCCTAATTATCTTCACCCTTCCCCCAACATATGATAAATAGGTTGGTTGGTTGGTAGATGACAAGTTAACGTTCGCTTCCAGTGGATGCTGATATCGCAAACTAGGTAGTTGTTGGTAGTGGTAGTTGGAATATATGATAAATACAAACGCCACTGCACTATATAGTATTGCCTATCTTGTTGGCAAGGAAACCAGGACTTGATCATCATTGAGCATACTATCTAAGAGAGATTAAAAGATTTACAAAAATTATCTCCCTTGACACACTATAGGGGGATGATTGGTTATAATGATCAGAGTTGTTTCTATTAAAGGGATCTAATACAGAGAGAATGTAACAAGGTTTATAAATATAAACCAACTGTAACAGGTGAATACAATTTAACTAATCTCCTTACATCTAAATTGGGATTGCCTCCCTTATCACTCTAAAGTGAGATAATTTCCGAAAAATGAAGTGAATGTGAAAATACTGATTAAACGAGAATGATACTGGTTCAAGTTTTTGATTCATAAACACAAGGTGTTGACTTAAGAATGGTGAGAAAGTAAAATTTGTGAACAATGGTGTTTAACCATCCACCACAACTTCAAATCTTATAATTATTATGTATCATAATGACAGAATTGTTTGTGGCCCCGTGACAATTCTGTGACTTCTTCTCGCCCCCCAAAAAAAAGTTTTAAAGAAATGCCTGTGTCCACTAGTAAATATAACAGACTAATAATAACGATATACAGGATGATTTTATAAGAGAAATAATAATATAATATATCATTCAGATTAATAGAGAATATAAATTCCGTATATATTTGATCAGACCTGAACTATAATATTATAAAGACTATAGTAACATCTGTTGGTATCAATAATCGATCAGAATTAGTTCAGTATTGATTTACTGACGTATATAAATATTATACTTACATATAGATGACAAATATCTTTAATAATAGTTTATTCTTATTCATCGTATCCTAATCTTTCTTTAACAAAGACATCTCGGGCAGTGGCGTAGGGGAGGGAGGGGTTAGAAGGGGGAAGGCAAGTAGTTGCCACAGAATTGTTTAAGGAGGCACAACACAAGTTATCTGGGAAATTAAAAGTGGAGAAATCAGGGCCAGCCCCAATTCTTGGAGAGGGATGCTTATAAACCGGGCCGCTCTACCCCTCCCCCTCCTCTCCTCTCCTTTGATACTTGTGTACAATGCAACATAGCCCCAGATATCTGACTCACATGCAGACGATTAATTGTGTATCAAAGTTGTCTCCCTTATCAAAGGATTTGATGGATGTTTACATGTTTAAAAGATAAAATAAGGAAGGTTTTTTTAATGACAACAATCATTGGTCACGAAACAAGGAAAAAAAACGAGAGTTTCAAACCTGTTCTACAGGTAATATGAGAACATCGGGTAAATTAATTTGATTTTTTTATGAGTGTTTGAATTTTTTCCTTAATTATTTGATTTGTCGACCAGCTTTATTTTGTTCTATTTAAGGAATTTGATTTCATGAATTGTGCACGAACCTTACGTCGGAAGCTATACATCTGAATAGATAGCTGAATATTGTATTCCTTTTACTTCCTACATCTTATCTACATAATTATAAGATTCACATACAAACACTGATGACCAATATAAATCAATTGTAGACGAACTGGTTGCCAGATTTTTAATCTGAAAGGTGTCCATGCTAAATCCTTTTTAGTTTAGGAATAGTGCAGTGCATACAGTTAGTTCTTCTAATGGCACGAGACAACTTATTGAATTAGAAAAAGAAAAAGTATATCCCCCCCCTCCTTTTTTCAAACGGAGGCCGAGACAGAATTTTATAAATCAATTATCATTTAATTCAACTGGAGACATTAATTATTCATCGATTGAGAATTAACCCCTGTGTATTATTTATACCCCCTTCATTAATAGTTTACTTATATTTGGCTACTTGATGACGTGACCTAATAGGGTTAATTAATTCCATGAATAATAACTCGTGTATATACTTAAAGAATATCACTCGACATTTATCGACACGTGAAGATAATTTTATTGAGGTGCTTGAGATTGTTGGGCCTACTTTAACTTGTGTCTTAACAGTGTCTTAAGCATTAGACAGTGGTGGGGCAAAGTTGACGTCCGAGGGGAGGGGGGAGACGGCGAAATATCTGAGATTGCCTGAATTTTAACATAGTTATGAGAGTCATGCCCGAAAAACTTGTCCCCATTTGGCTCCGTCACTGGCGTTAGAGTTCTTTAATATAACTTTATAACCATACCAATTTTACCCAACAGAAAATGTTGAAAATTGTTAGTATGTTTATTCGTCTTTATAACAAGCTACTCTAAATTTAATAAAAGTCAAGGACGAAATCTGTCGCGATCAACAGACGGGCGATGGTATAAATATAATTCAACTATACTTTCTCACTCGAGGATGAGATAATGGTACAGAAGGAACTGTTCATGTTCTAAAGATCAATGTCTTAAAGAAAAATAATTTAAGTCTAGACCTCTATATATAGGCCCTAATTGGTGTAGGTTTATTCTTCTTTCTACTGTGCTCACTCGCGGTAGAGTTAAGTCACAGACCGAAACTTGTCATGATGTAAAGACGACAGATTGAAACTAACTCGAGGTTGAGTTAATAGGTCGACAAACGAAACTTGTCATGATCTAAAAACGACAGATTGTAGAGATGAAGAAACTAACGTTGTATTGATCACATAACACCTGGAGCTTTCATTCACGTACAACAACATTGTCGAAACATCGTCGTGCATTTTATGACAGTTATATATATTTATTTTTTTTTTATTTTTTGTGAATATCTAGATAGTGATTGATGAGTTTTGATTTTGGGGTTTTCCTGAAAACAAATTGTTTAATTCAAGAATTTATAAAGAATTTAATCTTTTGGATGTTGAATTTGGGAATTCTGTTGAATATCTTGAATTGTGATGTTGATTTGAATGTTCTGTATTTCTTTTGAATAATGGAATAAAAATATTGTATAAGTGTTTAGTTTAGTGAAGACTAACTTTATCATTATTGTTGAAGATGTTAGCAAACATTAGGCATAGATGAAACGAGTGAGAGCCTCCAAGCTTAACTTAAATGATCAGTGAACATCCGCAAAACATTACATGATATGGCAAAACCTTGTTTGAAACCCGTGTTAAGTGCGATATAAAAATGAAGAAGTTTTGGATTTTTCTCTGGACGTTTTGTGGATTTATTCAGTTTGTGATTTTAGAGAGCATCAACGGTAAGGATATTTGTCTTATTTTATTAGGGGTGGGGGTCGGGTAGGTTTCTGAGGGCAAATGGAAGTACCCCAAGGTTCTCAATAGGGGGGTAAGGCGTGTACGTGTGAAGATAAAGGCTTATTAGTAATCCCAAATGTTACCAATGCAAATGGTTACAATTTCCAACAATACAGGATACGATCTAGGGTTGACCGTCCATGAAGGCAACCGACGGAATCCCAGGGTTATGTTTGGTAGTAATATATATATATATATATATTTTTATGAAAGGGTAGGGTGGGGTGGGGTGGTATGAAATCATTGAAGATGCTCTAAATCGAAATGGAAAGGATTCTAATTTTATCATGGCTGGGTCGTGGAATATTATTATCTGAGTAAATTTGTTGGTATATCAAAATTTGCCTATTTTATTAGTAATATGTTACATAATCCTTAAACTTTATACATATATAATCCGATTATTTACAGAAAATCTGAAATAATATTTTAAAAGAATTGATTTTCTGCATGAAAAGATTATATTTTGTTTACTGAAGACAGATGTTACGTGACAAGATTTGCTTTAAAAAATTTGATTTGAATTTGAATAGAATTTTACACTGTTACATATATTATCTTATAATTACATAACTACTCATATAGAAAATCCATTCAACGTATATGGTAAAACACTGTCTTGCTGGAGGGCCGTAGTTCTAGGTGCTATTGTATTATTCCTGGACTGTTTAGGATCCATGACAATAAACAATGACCGGATGATGAATACTATTTACTATAGAATTTGATAATTGGTTCCCAATCACAGCTGTACGGAACCGGAAACCGGAGCACCGGATTAACGGTTACTTTTACATAGTAAATATTCCGTTCTCAGTAAAAAGCGTGCGGATATCGGGGTTTCCGGATTATCGGCAACCAGATAAACGCAGCCCCACTGTACTTGGTTACCCTATTATCCATTACAACTTGTGGGAAGTGGGCATGCATGGGTCCTTCTTCACTTTTTGGGGGTGAGGGCCGACAGTAGGCCGACTCTCGGCTCTCTCGCTGAGACGAATAATACCACAAAATGAGAAAATGATATATTTATAAAAGCAGTATAGTTAAAGGTATTTTCTAATAATATAGAAACAGTCGTTTTTAAATAGACACAAATCTTAAACATATTATTCTCTTATATTCAGTATAACGTAATGATCCTCTTTTCAAATTTAAAATTCATTTAAAATCACTGAAGGGAATAACAGATATTAAAAGGAGCTTTACGCTCTAATTTTCTGCACCTGGTAAAAACCAATGATGACGAGAACGAATGGAGAAAACAAAGAAAACATGATAATAATACATATTGGATGGGTCCTACATAATGAGTTATCTAATAAATGAAGATGGAGACGACTGAAAAAAAACACATATAAGAAGACATCTTTGATATGATTTATAAGGGGTTAAATATTTTAAAAGGCGATCTGCTTTTTGGTTGAATACCCAAATCACACATGTGTTGATAAAAATAAAGCTATATATAGTAGAAGGTTATACAGATGATAAGTTAAATAATTATAGTGATCAGTGAATAGCATGGTTTCATAAATATTTTTCATTCCAATCATCAATTAGATTAATACGAGTTAAATATATAATACCAATTACAATTATCTTCGACATATACCTTGACTGCAATAGCCACCTTTCGTGTATCACGGAAGTTTATTATTGGATTGTGCATAGGAGAATACAGCCAATCAGAGCCCCCGAATACTCTCGCAGTCAAATTGTTTACAATCTTTCTGTCGAGGAATATAATTAACTGTATTCTTTAATAGCTTGACATTGTGAAGATGAAGTTTGTAATAGCTTGACATTGTGAAGATGAAGTTTGTATTAGCTTGACATTGTGAAGATGAAGTTGGTAATAGCTTGACATTGTAAAGATAAAGTTTGTATTAGCTTGACATTGTGAAGAAGAAAATGGTAATAGTTTGACATTGTGAAGATGAAGTTGGTAATAGTTTGACATTGTGAAGATGAAGTTTGTAATAGCTTGACATTGTGAAGATGAAGTTTGTAATAGCTTGACATTGTGAAGATGAAGTCTGTCATAGCTTGACATTGTGAAGATGAAGTTTGTAATAGCTTGACATTGTGAAGATGAAGTTGGTAATAGCTTGACATTGTGAAGATGTAGTTTGTAATAGCTTGACATTGTGAAGATGAAGTTGGTAATAGCTTGACATTGTGAAGATGAAGTCTGTAATAGCTTGACATTGTGAAGATGAAGTTTGTAATAGCTTGACATTGTGAAGATGAAGTTGGTAATAGCTTGACATTGTGAAGATGAAGTCTCTAATAGCTTGAAATTGTGAAGATGTAGTTTGTAATAGCTTGACATTGTGAAGATGAAGTCTGTAATAGCTTGACATTGTGAAGATGAAGTCTGTCATAGCTTGACATTGTGAAGATGAAGTTTGTAATAGCTTGACATTGTGAAGATGAAGTTGGTAATAGCTTGACATTGTGAAGATGTAGTTTGTAATAGCTTGACATTGTGAAGATGAAGTTGGTAATAGCTTGACATTGTGAAGATGAAGTCTGTAATAGCTTGACATTGTGAAGATGAAGTTTGTAATAGCTTGACATTGTGAAGATGAAGTTGGTAATAGCTTGACATTGTGAAGATGTAGTTTGTAATAGCTTGACATTGTGAAGATGAACATTGTAATAGCTTGACATTGCTTTCATTCATCTTCAAGTGAAAACGAAAAGATAACATTAGTGGGTGTCGCTAACAAGGCAAGATATGCTCACTCTTCCAGAATACCCGATATTTAGAAACACCTGTTAGATCACAGGGCGACTGGGTGTGTTAACTTGTGTTGTTTATAAACCATGGTGATTCTGCACTGTCCAGCCCTTTCGCTGTTTATCTGTTTTACCCCTTAGTAATAAAGATATTGGTATTATAACGCAATATATTAAGTTATTTTTATATATTTGATAGGAGATATTGTCATTATCAAACATTTATAAAGACTTTTTTGCAATTTTTAAAGAAAATCAAACTATTAACAGAGTTAACCTATCTTGAAAATATTTGAGAAATTCGACTATTTTTTTTAAACTCTCTAACTTCTTGGCCTCTAATATAAATTAAAGAGAAATTTGATATGAAAGACGAGCTCTATTTGTCCAACGATTGTTTTAAGTTTAATATGATTTCAGTAAGAACACTTAAAGAGGTGAAAAAATATGTGAATTGTCGAGTGTGATTATCATTATTATCTCTACTTCACTAACCAAACTGGTATTTTATCATTCGAAGTTCGCTCTATTATTATCATTACTGAGGGTGGGTCTGGAACAATTTAACCTTGAGATTTTCTTATGGGTACTCAATTGAAACATCTACAGAACTAAACGTTTTCTGGGTGGGTAGTTGAAGGTGGTCATTTTAGACTCTTACATCTTGGTTTTATTCTCTAGGTGTGTAAATTAAACCAATTTGTTGACATTATCAAGAAACACAAATGAAATTGTGGACGCATACGTTGTGAACTACTCGAACATCAACTCTTGTCTCGGGTTGTTAATTTGCTACGTGACACGAGTCGACACGGGTCACTCTAGAACAAACCGGAAGTATTGATCATGTTGTGAAAACATGGCGGCGATTGTAAGATTAAAACGACGAAGAAACGAAGAACCTGTCGAAGCTTTGTTGTTATCTTGTAAAAAGAGAAAGGAAGATGGAATTCAATCACATGAAACTGGATTCCCTTTAGATACGACATCTAATATTCAAGAAACTTTAAAATTTGCCGGTACAATCTCTCCGAAAGAGACTGAAATCTCAAAACACATTCGTGCCGCGATTCGAAAGGAAAAACTTTCGAAAGAATATAAACAACATGGTCAACAAGTTTCTATACCTGAAATGTCGCAGCGAACTCGAGTTGGACGACAGACGACATCGCGAGAAAATCGTTACAAAGTTGTGTGTAGTCATAGAGAACTCGAACTTGACAAATTGGACAGTAACGTTACTGAAAATGGCGGACAAGGGGATGCTGGAGCCAAAAATGAAGACACTGGTGCTTCCTCGAATTCTAAAGTTTTCTTACTCTATGATGTAGAAAAAGAGTCTATGGCTACAACTTCCGATGCCAAATATGAACCGAAAGTTAAAAGTGACTTGAGTGAAATAACATGTAATTCTGTGCCGTTAATCCGCGAGAAAAGGGAGGATGAGGATTTTGTCTATGATCTATATTACACTAATAGTGGGAGTCTTGATTTTCAAGCCTTACAGAGTGCATTAACAATACAAGCTCTGTATGACGATCTAGTCTACGACGATGATCGATTCGCTGATGATGATGAAGTTTATGATGATGATGATGATTCCAATGATGAAGGAAATTGGAGGAATGATTATCCAGATGAAGATCCAGGATTTATTAACAATCAAGATCTTGAATCAAACATGTTAGACTTGAACAATGAGACATTTAATGTAGACTCGTTGTCTTCGTTGATGACATCACGTTGTAACGTGGGTTTCGGTGAAGATGATGATGATGATTTGTCTGGTTATGAAGCATATAAAAGGAGAGTTGAAAGAGAATTATTGAGAGATTATCTACAAGATAATTCTTAGCTACTGATTCAATATAGCCTCTAGACTGAGAAATCTTTCTCTACCCACTCCTCTACAAAACAATGTTTTTAAAATAACATCTTCATTTCAATAATTTGTGTAGATGAGTTAACTCGAGGTTGTAGATGAGTTAACACGAGGTTGTAGACGAGTTGACTCCAGGTTGTATGCGAGTTAACTCGAGGTTGTAGATGAGTTAATTGGGGTTGTAGATGAGTTAACTCGAGGTTGTGGACGAGTTAACTCGAGGTTGTCGACGAGTTAACTCGATGGTTGTCGACAGGATATATCAAATTTTGTTTTTGTCATGCTCAAATTCTTAAAAGCTGGTGATCTGAAAATGTACCAGGGCAACTTGCATATAAAATGACATTTTATGTCTGGCCCTAAACATGCTGTTATCCCAACTGTATATCATTTACATTGTACAAAAAACAGGTAGTATCAGTTTGGGCAAAAGAGCCGCAGACCCCATTCTCTGATCCTTCATTTGGTCTGGTGTTGAAAAGTCCCACCAGACTGGAAAATAGTCCTCAAATGAGTAACCAGATATCCATGAAAGAATACAATTTACAATACTTACCAATTTGTCAGATACATTTTGTTATATGAAATAACAGGGCATCTTCGTCTTATTGAAACATCTGATGTGTCACTTTACCTGGAAGTATTTACTAGGCATCTATGAAGGAGAGAGTGTGGTTAAGATGATGCCTATGTGGTATATTTATTTTACAAGATCTATAACTAAATTTCAAACTGTAGCTGCAATATCCAAAGAAATCAGTTTAATTAAAATTAAACCAAACTTTCGATCCATTCTTTATTAGCTTTTATCTATATAAAAGATTTTTCTTTTTGTCTTATGTATATGTTGATATATTCATTTATGTTTATTGTACAAGTGACTCCATTTATGTAAATACAACATACAAGATCATGTCTTCAAAAATTAAACTCTGGTGTTTATTATTTATAAGGGAGGGTCTCTGCATGTAGAAAAGGGGAGAGGTGGAGGGTCTCTGCTTGTAGAATGGGGGAGGGGGAATAGATCTATGTAGTGAAGTTTGAATTTTGAGAAAGGAAGGCTCTGAGCTCAATAAAAAAAAAAGAATAAATTTAGTTAAATGTAGTTGCCTTCGTTTTTGAAAAAATCCTTTATTATATACTGCATGGTGTTTGAAACTTTTGTGATTTAAGGTCTCAAAAGAGAAGCAAAAATCTGACTCTGAGGGTGCTCTAGTTCCCTCGTAATCCCTTCTACCAACTTTAAGAAATGCTAAGGCATATTTCAATTTTCTGAATCTGGTGATCTAAGGTCTCAAACTCTTGATAAGGTGTTCTTGGAACCCCAATATTTTAACTGGCATAATTAAATCATCCTTTACTTTGGACAACATGTTTTTGCCTTTTCGTGTAATCTCATAACACAACCTAGTATCGAGTGCACTGGTGCAGATTCTCTGAATCTGATGATCTAGGGTCTCAAACGAGAAGCGAACTCTTGTTACGGTGCTCTTAAAACCCCAATATTTATGGAAATATCGTGGCACACTTCAATTACATGTACTCCTTACATTGGAGAACCTATTTGATTTACCTTTGGCCTTTTCCTGTTTTATTACGTCACCGTACGTCTAAGTCCATTTAAATACAAGTATCAAATAACATAACCTAGTATGAGTGCACTGGTGCAGATTTTCTGTGTGAAACTGACTAATGATTATAATCAATGTTAGTTTAATTAATTTAACCCTGGTCAAGTATATTACACTCGGTTCTCATATCAAACGCCTGGACTAATATGCATGCTTACAGTTTCATATCTTCACAATGTCAACGGTCAATACGAACTTCGTCTTCACAATGTCAAGCTATTACAAACTACATCTTCACATTGTCAAGCTATTACAAACTTCATCTTCACAATGTCAAAGTACACGTATTACTTATATCACGACTACAGATTGAGATCTGATTGACTGTTTTCGCTAGAGTACAATCCAATCAAATCACTGCATTTACAAACTTGTATGAAAGGTGGCTATTACAAAACAAAAACTCAGTGACTTATATAGATTTAAAATTGTCCCAGACGTCAAGCAGACTAGTAAGACTGTGTGGTCATTGAAAAATGGCTTAACAAATCCGTGTGAAATTTGTTTTAAGTTGTGTTCGTGAGATGTTAACACACGTCCTAAAGACAATGTAAGAATAGAACGAAAAGTCAACCTGAATCTTAGTCCGAAACATGGTGATAAAGGTTGAAAGTAAGTATTCAACAATAGGCCCCGTTACAGGGTTAAAGCAGTTTTCGGTTAAACAGATATTTCGATTATTTATCGACGATCAGAATTAATGGTGGCTAGAGAAAGAACTTGAGCAACTGATGGAAATAATTTTGTGTCGACGATACTCTCAAGACCAGATTCTCCCATTTATCTAGTCGTAAGGTCGGCCCAATCACCGGTACAGAGTGACGATGTTTCGGATTAGTTGAAAGTTAAATATGTAGATAACGGTGTGAGACAAGGTGACATCCTAACACCCTATCTTAACACGTTTCTTATACATAACTTACTGACATTTCACTCTAACTCACTGTTTATTTTCGACTTGTTCATTAGTTTTTTTCTTATAAAAGTACATTTTAATCTCGAGAATTTATCTTCAAGGCTTGGTCTGCTAGGTAAATCAGCTGTCAGAACTCGAGTTTTACGCCCCTTGTTATTAGACGCCTAAATTGGTGAATGTAGTTTTTAAGAATAATTTATATTCTGAAATCCTTGGTCTCTGTTGTTTAATATCAGTGAACAACGTCTGATATCAGTTACAATTCTATGCACCCGTCGTCTTAATAATTTGAGATTTTGAAGGATACAAAACTTTAAACGTCTTGATAAACTGTAACTACGAAACTTTGAGTTTAGCACGTTACTTCACATTAACAGTCCTATTCGCGGGTTCCACATAAAAGGTTTAATATATGGCTTCAAAAGGTTGGCCTTCGAATTGATAACATACACAAATAATGCATTTAACCTTTCTATTCAATGCAGATACAGTAGCGTATCTAAAAAAAGGGGGGGGTGTATTTTTTATCATTTTACATAAATGAATGTCCTGTGGCCCCTGCTTGAAACCCCCCTCCCCTCGCCTGATTTTTCCCAGAAACGCAGAGTAATATCAATGGCTCTCCTGGAAGTTTATACATCGCTCAACATGAATTATTACTAGTAATTTGACTGTATATACGAAATTAAGACTCGACTTCAAGTAAATAACCTACACAAATAGTCTAACATCCCCCAACATCAATATAACCTCTGTACATCTTTAACAGTTAATGTAATATAACAACAGATCAAGCGAACGTGATCTCTGACCCATTCTCTGGGAATGTTATCTAAGGTAGACTCGAGAGTCCCGAGAATAAAGAGAGCATTATTCCATCTGAAATATTTCAAATTATTATTTTATAAATAAACAGATTTATCTATGTTTATAAGAGTCTGCAATTTTATAGAATCTTCCTGAAAAATTGAAGATTGTTGCTCTGATCAACATGTACAAAAACTCGTAAGTTTGTGGCATATGTCTTGTAAAGTAGATAAATTCTAACTTTGAAGTGATTGGAATCAAATTTTCTTTCACAGTTTATCAAGTTTGAAAGGGATACAGTTGTCTAAATAATAAAAATCCGTACAAGCAAAACATTTCCAGAAACAAAAAAAATCTCGCAAAGTATATAAAAATCGGGAGTAATAATTGTAGTGGACTCCTCAATCGAAAAGTACCATCAGGCGTGTCGAAAAGAGTAATGATGATGGTCTGTGTAAATGTATTTGCTTTATCAGCTGATAGAGCTCACCAGTTACGTCATTTGATTGGCAATATCTGCAAATTCAGTGGTAATTTAATAAGACGACAATCACATTTGTGTTGAATGGTAGAAGAACTGGGCGTCAGACTTCGATTCTGAAAGGTGATTTCGAAATTATAATATATGCTCATATTTGCATGTTTATCAACTCAAAGGTAATCTAAGACTAACTTGACGAATACATGTAGGCCTACTTATATTCGTTAGACTCCATTCAGTATATTATCTTGAAATTATTATCAACGCAAAGTAACTCTAAGACCATCAGTGAGATTTTCAAGCTGAAATGTCTATTTATAAAAATGGGTAATATTCTATTTACGAAAGTGCAAAGACAGTAGCTCTTTCATTTTTTATATCAACCGTACGTCAATAACTCCTTTGAAATACTTGGAATTCCTACTACAGACGATATAGTAGCAAATACATTTTTTTTTATTAAAACTTGGTATCACATTCCTCTAGCCACTTGAACCTACTTCAAATCTTTAGAAATATAAACAGAGCTAATTATAGGTCTTCATCAATTATATTCAATATCATTAGTAATACACTTTAATTAATTATACCAATTCTAGAAATATTTACTGATATACAGGTCGGTGGAGGTTATTATATTTTTATCATAATGGCACAGTCTCAACCGAACCACAATGACGAAAAGTGTTCATTCTGACCACAGGAAATAGGCCGACTGTTTTACTTGGTATCTTTGCCAACCCACAACTAGATATGGTTTAAAATTCCCTGCACTATCGGAGGTGCAGAAAATCACCATAAAACGTGGCCAAGATTTTCTGACCCTACTCCAGCAGACATCTATCAAAATAGCTATTATAGGGCTGCAATAGAGACGGGTATTTCGGACTATCATTGGACATTGACTATCTTATTTTAGTACTTTATTCACATTTCATTTTTGGAGAGATTTTTTGATGCATCTTTGAATCTTGTGCTCCACCTTTTTTGTCGGACACACACTAAAGCATCGTGTTCAAACAACGGACCCATTCGTCGTTTGTCAAAACCTGTATTCATGTTACGATGACGCTAAAGTTAAACACAAATCTATAAATATATAACTTGTTTATTTACCGACGCCTGACTCATTTGCAAC